TCACAAGAGCAACTTAAAAATCAAATAATCCATTTTCAAGTTCTTTTTCTTTGCTTTTAGGTTTTAACCTTTTGGGGTTCAGATTTTTAAACCTTTCTCCACGTTCATGAGGGCTAGAAACTTTCATCAAAAGAACAGTAAGCTCAGAGTATTCACACGACTCCAAGAGTTAGGGCTTTATATTGCAATGACCTGTGATATAGGAAGCAGGAGTTGGCAACACAGTTACCATTTTTTTTAAAGACCAATTTGCTGATATTTAGCAATTTTTTCCTTGTACATTTATAAGTAAACTATTTTAATGGAAGAAAAATGTTATCAGGCAATAACAGTCAAACCTGAACCATTTATCTAACATGGTCCCCTCCCTGTGAATTTTGTGGGGTTAGAGCACATTTGTATTTGTTTTTCGCAAACCAGAATCCCAGCCAATGAGGCTTGCAATACAAATCCTCCCCACCATTTGCTCTCTCTGTCTGTAACAGAGATGCCCTAATACTGGAAATGTTTTCCCGAGACCCTCACCCAACTTTGGAGATCTGGGTCTGAGAAAAACTTGTATTATGGTTTTGCTCTTACTGACTAGCTGGAGCTTCCCAAGGGAGGGAATATCCAACCACATCATGGTCATCATCACAGCTTCCTTCCATGACACCAGGAGTTACAAGCAGCTACTTTAAAAGCTTCATTATTTCTTTCTTCTGAGAGAGATGATGAGACCAGAGTGGGAGTTTATGCTCAGTAATGGTCCATAACTGCTTAAAAAATTACCTGACCATCTTGGTCTCATTAGTTGTCTGCCAGCTACAGGGAACTGAAGTTGCCGCTGAAACTCATTTTTTAATAATGTTATCACAAAACTCTGTACCAAATAGAATTAGAACCAGACAATCAACTGACATTTAATCAAGAAAAGTTTTGAAAAAGCAAATGGAGTGAAAACAGTGCAGGAGATGATGATTTTTAAGCAAACTCCAACCAGACCAAAGAACACAGTTGTGTGCCGTACAATTCCGCCCCACCTTGATTAGAAGACCCACATCTGCCAAGCAACTGTTTTTTGTCAGTCCCTGAAGACAGATTTCATGGTAGAATTTCTGCCAGTCAGAAACCAGCTTTAAACACCTCATCTCCCAACAGACATGTGCTCTTATGGATAAGCTGGGCCATATCTGGCTGAAGGACACAATAGGTCCCTTCTGAAGCAATCAAATTCACCAGAACTTCAATAATGGCAGAGAGGGTAAATCTGTCTCATTGTACGATGCTGCATCAGACACAATTATTAAATCAACGTCAGTATTTTGGGTGCAAGGGAAAAATCCTTGTAACAGAGTGATATTACAGCATCAATGGTTCCTGCTTTGCTGTTCATGTAGCAGCAGCACACCATTCTACCAGAACAATGTGCCAATTCCATTGACATTTCTTGAACTCCGCCATCTGGTTTTGGATAACTGTCTTCATGCAAGGCTGTTTCAAGTAAAAAAGAAAAACGGGCATAATGGATGTTAGTAGGACCTCAGGAGAGGTTACGAGTTATAGAGAACTTTAGCTGGGGAAAGAGAAAAAATCCCAGTGAATTTATAATGAGAGAAAAGTGAAGAGCTTTGGTGTTTCTGTACTGAATCATTTCAGGATCTCAGCAATTAAACCTAGAGGCTCTCCAACAATTAGCTGTGGAGTATCCCTTAACAACAGATGTTAAATCAGCTGATAGCCCCCTTGTGAATCTTCACCAGAACCTTGCTCAAGAGAAGCTGCAGGTCATCGATCCTGATGAAACCCAAGTGGGTTTCTGTACTCTGGCTGTTAGTTGAGTCACTGGTCTAAATTAATCTCAATGATTACATCATCCATCCATGAAAAACAGAGAAGAAAATAACAGATTGGATCAAATATTAAAAAGCAAAATTACAATGTGTTCCAAATGCATAAAAAAATGTGCTAGCTTCAGTCCATGGACGACAAATTATTCTTGTCAAAACATTATTCTGTACACATCTATGACATCCTTGATCCAAGATCTCAAAGCACTTTACAAACATTAATTAATTAATCCTTACCACAGCTTGGTGAGATAAGCATGTATCATTATCCCCATTTTACAGATGGGGAAATAGAGGCATAAGCTTAAAGGCCACACAGTGGCAGAGCTGTGACTAAAACTCAGGTCTCCTGACTTCCAGTTCTACACTCCATCCATTAAGTCAATGCTCTTTAATGAGAAGGAAAAGACATTAATGATTACAAAGATCCAACTTTACAGCATCAACTTGTGTCCAGTCTAAGGCTACATCTACACTACAGGGGGGAGTCGATTTAAGATACGCAAATTCAGCTACGTGAATAGCGTAGCTGAGTTCGACGTATCGCAGCCGACTTACCCCGCTGTGAGGACGGCGGCAAAATCGACCTCTGCGGCTTCCTGTCGGCGGCGCTTACTCCCACCTCCGCTGGTGGAGTAAGAGTGTCGATTCGGGGATCGATTGTCGCGTCCCGACGGGACGCGATAAATCGATCCCCGAGAGGTCGATTTCTACCCGCCGATTCAGGCGGGTAGTGTAGACCTAGCCTAAGTGAGTGGGATACCTCTACTTCCATTGCTGCTGCTTTGAAAGCCACCATGAATTTCTCACCATAAAAGCTTCAGCCTTTGCAGATGGGGAGGAAGGCTGTTAAACAACTAGATGTGTTCGACAAAGTCCAGTTGCCATTTATCTAGGTATCACCCAGAGACAATACTGCTAAATGGAATTTCATTTCATGCTTCCCACCTTGGGGTTTACCCCAGTGTCCCTGCAGTTGCTGCAGGGATCTCTCCATTGCCACCATATTTCTGGCCAAGGAGAACAGAACGTAAATGGCTTTGGAGTCCCAGAAAACTGTTCCTGAGTTTGCAGAGTTGCTATAACTGAGTGGCCTCTCTGCCAGATGTAGAGAGCACTGTCTTGGTAGATCTTCCAGCTCCTGCTGACATTAGAAGCAGGATAAGGGGTCAGGTAAATAAAACTTATTCTCCACTGGGGGTTACATATCAGGGGAAAAAATGCAGTGATGCTCTTCCAAGCTCTGCCCACCCAAGATGCCAAAAATGAGATGCCTCTCCCAGTACATTGACATGTTGTTCCAAATAGGATGGTGCATGTTCTGTTGGGCTTGACATCTTTTCACTGGGGTTTGCATACACCCAAAGGTTCTGCTGAATCCCTTGGGCTTAGCTCAGCCTCAGAGGCAGTGCTGGGTTCCTTTAGCCTTGCTTTCCCAGGGTGGAAGGCAGATTCTTTGTTCGGCTCTGGTAGGCTCTTTTTTGACTGAGGGGAAAAATAAATGGTGTCATCTCCTAAATGCCATCAATTGTGGCACCAGAAAGAGATGTCTCTCACAGCAGTTTGTTCAGATCTTTATAATATGATCATCAAGCTCCTTTCTTATGCTTTGGTCGACAGTGAAATAGTTAACATTAGTGATATTCAAATTATCACTTGGCTTCTGAGTTATCACCTCATGGAGATGATTGGGGGCAGTTCACATCTCTCCCCGAGGTACTGTTTCAGGATCTATGAAAATCCAGGCATACACCACCGCATCAGTTACACTTACGTTTTGAAGGTTTTCTTCAGAACACCAAGAGATAGAAACTAACTACAAGAAAAACTTAGAGTCAGGATCACAAGATGGTAACTCAAGGAAAATACCACCTACTCTTGTACCTCAAACCCAGGTTCTCCTGTATGGTAGCTCAGAACATTAACTGGCCACAGGGCTGACCCAGAATGTCCCTTTTTTGCCTTCTCAAAGCCTTTACTGCATTTAAGCTGCCCTTGATTACAGACAGGCATTATTCTTATTTCTCTCGCGAGCAGCTAGTAAATTGTCCCACCGCTCAATTTTCATTGTCTCCCATCTTACAACAGAAATCAGAGATGGAAAAGCCTTATTAGCTCATCCAATCCA